CGATGGCACCCTTAATATTACTCTGCATTAACTTGTGTTCTTCTGAGATTGACGCACCATCTTCCTCTTCACTGACATGATCATCTTCAACATCTCGTCGGCAGTCATTTCAGGATCTCTGATAACCTCCAGGATGTCTTCGTTGGTGGCCTTGGAGGAGCCTTCAGCTGTAATACTGTGCGCAGCTTCTCTTGCAAGGTCCAATGCCACTGTCACAGACTGAACCTCACCAGTCACAGGTTGACTCCGCCTCTCACCTGGTATGCCATGCAACACATGCCTCCATGCGTGACGAATCGTAGCTATAGACAGCTGATCCCATGCCTCCACCAAGAAGTCTACAGCTTGTTTGACGTTAAATTTCTTCCAAAACTGTTTGACGAGAACTTCTTGAGTCACCACCTCTTGTTCCTTGTCCTCATCGCTTTTGCTCTCGCTATCGGTGTCACCCAGCTTACGCAACTCATCCTTGGTGTTGGTACAGTCGTTCAGGAGCTTGAATTTCTTTGCCGAGTATGCAGCTTTAACATTGCAGATCAACTCCTGGTCCATGGGCTGGATTAATGACGAAGTGTTGGGAGGAAGGAAGACCACTTTTACGTTGGGGTGACGATCCATAAGTAGGGGCTAGTGTCCTGGTGAGTTGTCAAGGAACAACAAAATCTTGAATGGAACATTTTGTTGCTCGCAGAATTTCTTCACGTCGGGAATGAAACAGTCATCAAACCAGGAGAGTGACAGAGCAGAGAACATCCACGCCTTGCGTGCGGTCAGCCAGTGGACATTAATCTTGCTCATGTCCACGTTCTTGTAGGTGTGCGGCTTGCGGGCTGTGTGAATCACCGATAACTTTGGTTTACAGGTACCGGAGGCATTGGTGGTAAAGAGGACGGTGATGCGCAACTTCTGCAACTTCCGGCCCCGACACTTGCTGGCAATCTTCACAACGAAGGTCTTGGAAGGTAGTTTTTTCCAAAAAAGACCAGATTCGTCCATGTTAAACACCTGGTCGTCGGTGTACTGCCCTTCCTCCATAACCTCACGTAAGAACGGAGGAAAATCTCTAGCCGCCACACGGTCAGCACTCGCTTCTTCACCACCAGTGTTGATGTTGGTGATATTATTCCTCTTCTTAAACCTATGCAGCCAACCAGAGGAAGCATTGAAGGGTTTGGGCTCTGCAATTCTCATCTTTCGTGACACTGCTGCATACAGTTCACGTGCGTACTCTTGAACGGATCGCGTGTCCACCGCCATGTTGCGTCGCGCCTGACGAATCAAGTACAGTGAGTTCTGCTATAACGCGTGTTTTGATAACGCGAATTTGCTCTCACGCGATTTATGAATTAGGAACGATATTTGTATAACGCGAACGCTTGTTTGCTATAACGCGATTTTTGCTTACTATAGTAAAGTAAAGAAGAATATCAACAAGAAGCGTTCTGGTGATAGAATTCCCGGTGATGATCGTAAAAGAAAGGATATAACACTTGAAGAGAAGCTCGATTTTATCAACCTCAAAATCACCTCTTTCTCTATCAAGTAAAGTGTTACATTTACTGTATGATTTCATTATTAGATATGAATGTAACATTTATTTAGACTGTGCTATCCTTTGTGTTAGGCTAACTACTAAATTTTTTCGATTTCGAGTTATCTGCACCTAACCCTATTTTCTCCATAAGCCCTGTTATTTCTATTACGCGATTTTCTATAACACGATATATTACAAGAACACAATTATCGCGTTATAGCAGAACTACCTGTAACTCGCCAGCAAATTTTCCACCTTTAGCAGCACCTTGTTCTGCCAATACTTGATCATTGAAGCACCTGCAGACTTTGTGATTCTCATGTGCTCTTTGATCTTGGCTGCATCCTGCTTAATGGTACGAATCGTAGATTCGTTCACTCCATGCTGCCGCGCGAGATCAGCTTGACGTGTTCCTTTCTCCAAATCTTGAATTATCTGGTATTTCACTTCGTAGCTTAGGGAACGGCGTATCTTCTTTGGCTTAGGGCGGCTGGGTCCAGGTAAGGAAAGGCTTCTCTCTGGTGGCGGTGGTCCGGCGGAAGCCATTTCACAGAACAATGGATGCACGTATACACGGTGTGGCCTGGAGGGATGAAACTGCCGCGGTTAGGTCAAGCGTCGTCTTTCCTCCCTCCCTCCCGCGGGTGGACACATCATATTACTTTAAACCAATTACAGCTAGCAGCGGAGGGAGGTAGGGATGCATGGCCAATCACAGTCCGCTACGTCATATGACGTCACTGATAACGCAACAGAGACATGCATTGCGCAACCTTACCACGCGGCTTGCCCAGGCGGAGGCGGGAGCAGGCGGGAGGGGCGAATCTAAAAATAGCGTCGAGCCAGACACTTTGCGCGTATATGGGTGCATGAACCGCGGAAAGTGAAAGTTCGGTTCTGGCAAGGCACCGTGTAAATGAGGAAACGCGGAAAGTGAAACCACGTAAAACGGGGTAATACTGTACATATTAATAGAGCAGCACTGAATACATAATACTTAACTAAACCATATAAGACAAGGTGTCCACCACTGACTGACCCAGACGTCCTGTCAGCACCATTGCCCAGCCGTGACTCCCTGAAACACACCCATGCACCGGTGAACTCCAAGCCTAAACAGCACTAACATACTGTACATACATTTTAGGGCACAGTTTTACATACAATCCACCATGGCACGTAGTCATCCCGACACCAACGCTACCACCGCACGGAAGGTGAGGGTAATGAGCATTTCCCAAACTAGTGTAGGGAAATGCTTGTTAAATACAGTAAGATCTCATATTTCGCACAACTTTATTTTGCGTTTTTGAATTTCGCGAGCACTACCTAATGTAACCAAGTCTTATATTTGACGTAAAATATCGTGAATTTTGCGAGATCCAGTCAGCTGAACGCGAAATCCAGCAAGCTGAATGCTGGCTTCCGGCTTCAATGATGTCACAGCCATCGTACCAGTTAGTCATTTCTGCTACAATGCGTATTTTGTCATTGTGAATTGGTTCGCAACGCGATTGATGAGTAGTGGAACTCTGTTTGTAAAACGCGATCTTTTGCATACGAATGTTGGCTATAGCGCTATTCCATCCTCAATGTTTTGATTCCATCCTCAACATTTTAAGCGTCGCGCTGGATTATGCAAGTTTACAGTTCACGTTCGACATCACATGTTCAATTGATTCGTATTTTTTGTTTGTGATTTATTTTTTGGGAGGTACTCTGTATACCGTATTTGTCTGTTTTGTGAGCAAATTTAGCTGTTACCCATAAATACTGTATGAAAAGAATAAGTAAAAAGAATGTTTCGCAGTGAGGACCAGTAATGGTTTACACCAGCGCTCTCTGTTTACATCATTTGATCAGTTGAATCCCGCGGTTTCTGTCAATTACTCCGTGATTTTTGCTATTTTCTCCATTTTTGTTGTGTTAGCAATGAATACTGAAAGACAAGGTAAGAAGAATGTTTCCAAGAAGTGTTCTGGCGATCAAATTGCCGGTGGTGAATGTAAATGAGGTTTACAAGAAAACAACTATCGCGTTGTAGCCCGCGCCATCCTAGCGACCACCCGGTCTGTTATTATGTGCTTTTTTGGGTGGTGCTACCATCTGTCGAGTCAAGATAATGGCCTCTACCTCTACTGCGGGTCCTATTGGTGTTGGTGGGGTGGGACAGACCCACCTAAGCAGCCAAATAAGGAAAAGAAGAAGCGGGACTATCATAAGGGAGTTAAGTTTGCCAAGTACTCGATGCAGCATAAGCAGCGTGTGATTAAATTACTTGAGGAAGGCCTAAAAACTAGTTTCCAGAAAGCACAATCAAGTCAATAAAGGCAGAATTTGTATCATTTGGAGGTTATAAATGGGAAAATTAGAGGTTGATGTAGAGTGGCCAGTTTATATTGTTATTTTTCCCATTAGTTTATGTGCAGTATTTGGCGAATTTGAATTTGGTGCAATTTTTCCAGTCTATATTACTCGCGAAATACAAGATCTTACTGTATATAAATCAAATATTTTGCAATGCATAACACAATTCATTATTGTGCATTGCACTATGCATAACAATAACTTTCTTCATTAATTTTTACTCATTTACATGCACACACCATCCTAAATACATATTGTGAAAAAGGTAAAGTAAATAATTTTCCAAAGGGGAAACCTGTACTCAAATGTACTAAGTTAATTAAAAGAAATTTTATGTCTAGTGCAAACTATGGGATGTTTGTACTCAAATTAATCACTATCTTACAAGAATTCCAGCAATGTGAGTTATATTCTGCTAAGTCGACTGAGTGACATTTTATGTGAAAAACTTTAATTATCTCTATTTGACTGATAACTATGCACTTGGTAATCTCCCTGCCTGGCTGTCAACACCTCACCACCTCCTCCTCCCAGCCAGGGTGAAGGTAGTTTTAGGCTTAAAGTTTTTATCTTATAAATTGTCACAGACTAGTCTTAGCAGAATATACTGTAGCTTGCATTGCTGGAATTCTTGCAAGATAGCAATTAATTTGAGTATGAACATTGCATAGTTTGCACATGAGATAAAAATTTTTGTCCTTTAGCATTGTACATTTGAGTACAAAGTGAGTACAGTAATATATGGTTAGGATATTATGTACTGTATTTTTGGTGTTGTTTATATAAAGTTTATTGTTTTTATACATTCAGTTCATTCACCGGAAGATTTGTACAATCAGCTCTTTCGGACAGGTGGTCCCTTTTAGTCCGGATCTTGAAGGGTTCACTGTATTTTCGTTGTAAATATGAATAAAATGACAGTGTAAATTGAATCTGGTCCTAAATTAGCCAGAGTTTTAAATATGAATTGTTGTTTGATGTATCGATGTTATTTGAGGCTTTCCTGTACTCTAATGTGGCTTAGACATAAAGAAAATATAATTTAAAGCTAGTTTTATAAAAGAAGAAAAATGAAGAGAATGTTTTTTTTTTTTTTTAGGGGAATAGCCCACCCGGGCATAGGTCATCGACCCACAACGTGAATATGTGTGGAGGCGGTGGGCTATAACTCCCTCCCGAGGCGACATTATAGCGTACAGTACACACGGAATTCTACTGTACCAATTAGATATGTGATATTGCATGTTGCAATGCAAAAAAGATTTGATTAGGAATATTAATGGATAGATAATGTTTCATGAACTTAAGCCATCTTTTTTCTTTACATCAAGATACAGTTGGGTCTTCTTTTACGCGGTCAATTGAACCCGCTGAGTACCGCGTAAACTGAGAAACGCGTAAATGAAATAACGGAACATATGGGATTGATTGAAATAGAGACTGGGCCGACCCCCAAACTTCACTTTTTCCGACACAATACATACGTTGTAGTAAAAATAACATCTTAATTTTATGATGGTATGCACACACTATTAATATTTAAGAGAAATACAGTCACCGGTTAATGTCCATTCAAATAATGGACTCAACCCCCCCCCCCTCCTCCCACGCTCGCTGGCTCCTCCCTCTCTGAGAAATGTTTGGGTGAAAACAGAAGGCTTACATTTTTAGTAATAAATAATACCTCAGACTAAAGTTAGGATAATATAATTGACATTGCTGGATTCCTTGCAAGACCAGGAATATTTTGAATATAAACGTCATATATTTTGCACAAAAGATAAAATTTTGGCTCTTTCTAATCAAAATTCTTATATTAGATCTAAAATTTGTATGTCTAATGCAAATTCCATGATGTTTATATTTAAAATAATCACAATCTTATAAGAATTCCAGCAATGTAAATTATAATCTGGCTGGGTAAATTGTATGAATTTTATGAGCTAAAACAAATATCTTCAGTAAATAAACAAATTATACTTCACCCTGACACTATGTCAATCAAAATACCCCACCTCCGCTGTTTCCCTCTTCCCACGCTCGCTGGGTTCCTCCCTCCCCCCACGCTCGCTGGGTTCCTCCCTCCCTCCCTACCAGAGAATTGTTTGGGTGAAAACAGTAGGCTTACATATTTAGTAATAAATAATACCTCAGACTAAAGTTAGGATAATATAAATGACATTGCTGGATTCCTAGCAAAACCAGGAATATTTTGAATATAAACGTCATATATTTTGCACAAAAGATAAAATTTTGGCTCTCTCTAATCAAAATTCTTACATTTGATCTAAAATTTGTATGTCTAATGCAAATTCCATTATGTTTATACTTAAAATAATCACAATCTTATAAGAATTCCAGCTATGTAAATTATATTCTGGTCGGGTAATTTGTATGAATTTTATGAGCTAAAACAAAAATCTTCAGTAAATAAACAAATTATACTTCACCCGCGTAAATGACCAAATTTACCGCGTAATAAAAGCATTTCATTCTGGCAAGGCACCGCGTAAATGACCAAACGCATAAACAAAAACCGCGTAAATCCAGACTGAACTGTACTGTATTGTGATGATAATTTGTTGAACACAAATTATGTATGTACCTTTTACTTCCCACGTGATATTTAATTTCTTTTATATTTCAGAAACACAGCACTGCTGGTGGAGCCAAATAGATGGTTTCTGTTGGAAGAAAGTTTTGTGTGCAACCACTGAGAAATAACTAACAACAATGAATGTCAATCTGTACTGGGAGCACAGTGTTAAGTGTGAATTTTGTGAAGCAACTTTTGACAACCAGGACACATTGAAGCAGCATTTGAGACTTCATTCCCGTAGAAAACCCTATAAATGTGATGAATGTGGAGCAAAATTTTCTTATAATAGCACCTTAGAATGGCACAAAAAAAGCCACACTGGGGAGATGCCATTTAAATGTGATGAGTGTGGTGCACAGTTTCTGCAAAACAGCATGTTAGTTTGGCATAAAAGGAAACATAGAATGGGAGAAAGTTCACAGAACTCTGCCCTTGTAGTGAACATGGCTAATATTTATCATCAACAGAATGTGCCTACCTTTCCCAACTTTTTTAGTTTACCAAGCTTGGTAAATACTGCCAATACTGTGCCTGCAAATGTTGTGGCTACATGCTCTACAGGCCCTATAAGCAGTATTGCAGCCCCTTCACATCTTCATCTGACTAACTGTCTTTCTCCTCAACCTCTTGTTGCTACAAATTCTTCACAGCAAGAAATGCAAACAGATGCAACAGGCAAAAGGAAGCTAGAAATAGAAGAAGGGACATTTCGGTGTGATATATGTGGTACAGTGTTATTGCACAGTTCTGATTTAAGAGCTCATATGCATACCAAGCATAACATGGGTGAAAATAATCCTTTTCATATTCTTGCTAGACAGCAACAAGTGAATGGAGAGTTCATACGAAAAAAAATAATTGTAGAAAAGCCTTACAAGTGTGATCTTTGTGGTGCAGGTTTTAATACTGAAGGTCATCTGAAAAGTCATCGACAGAAACATATAGTTGAACGGCCATACAAATGTGAAAAATGTTGTCTTACATTTTCTGATAAGTCTATTTTAGAATCACATGAACGGAGACATCAAGCTGAGAGACCACATAAGTGTGATCGATGTGGTGCGGCATTTTTCAGAGAAACCCATTTACAAAGACATATAAAGAGACACACAGGGGAGCTTGTATAACAGTTATACTTTGTGAAGGTAGGTACTCTTGTGTATTAAAGTGGAAGAAAAAAAAATTCTGAAATTCAATTATAGATCACAATGTAAAATCCACTTTAAGATGATTCATACAACTAATGGTCATTCTATTTTTTGTGTTGTACTTTGCTTTTATTGAAATATCATAAGAGCCTAGCTATTATATATGATTTCATCTAATTATAAAACATCAAAATGTATCTCCAGTTATGATCAGTTATCTCATTTTTCATAGTGACATATTTATCATCATCATCATCTGTTTCTAGTGTGAGGTACCATTCATAAAGATATTACTACAATACAGTACTAATTGAGCTGCCTGGGTTCGCCTTGGTGGAGGGACTGGAGTCAGTGCACAACCATCCTCCTACTAAATTTCAGGTCAATCTTTAAAACTGTAGAAATGCATAAGGAATGAAATAAAAAAAAAACACACACACACACACACACACACGCACACACTCTTTTCCTTCCTTCAGCCTTCATTGGGCAAGGACGTGTGTAGTCGGCGCTGCCTGCTGATGAGGCCATGGTCTCTTGAACATGGAGACATCTGCCAGCCTGGTTTGTCGGGCCTTCCCTTTCCCCATCTCTTCCTCCCCATCTGGATTTATCAACATCCTGCCACCAACAGTACAGTGCAAAGATTGAAGATCAACCCACAACTGATATTACAAAAGTGACTATTTCAACTCGAAAGGAAGAAACAACTGTTAGAGCGACAAACAGTACTTAGTGGCCAATGTTGACCTGACACCTTGACCTGACGCACCCAGCCCGCGGTACACTCGCCACCCCCAGCACTGGATGAGAAGCCAAGAAACACTCCAAACTACACCAGGAGAGAAATGAGGACTCCCTACTCCACCCAGGTGAGGAACTATGAATTCCTAACTACATCATATGAGGAACAAGAACCATCTCCAACACCCTGTGTGAGCTGGAGGACCTACCCGGACCACGTGGTGCATCTGCAGCTGTAGTGAGGTAGCGGCTTAACAGCCAGGCTTGGCGCTGACATCAGGTCACATGAATGTCTACAGACCAACTTCCACAGTACCAGATCTATAGTTAATCTATATGTTGACTCTATGTTTCTTATGTTTTCGTATTGAAAGCCTTTGTCAATCAAGTGACCCACTCCCCGATTTCAACATATCATGTCTGTCCATTGTATATTTACAGCCTTTGGGCTGCCATGTTATCTTAATAAACTGTTAATTATTATTATTATTATTATTATTATTATTATTATTATTATTATTATTATTCTTTACACACACACACTACTTTTTTTTTTTTTATCATGGCCTTCAGCCTCCCCCAATGGCTACACCTTCGCCGCCATTTTATTACCTTAAAATTATCTGTCATAATACGTAAGTAGCTACCTTAGCTGTGTTGAGCCGCAGATCTATGTGACATTCAGTGACTGTTGCCTCAAAGTCGATATCTGCGACTGTTGTCGGCTTTGGGGCCGGTGCTCTTGTTCCCCCGGGACAAAGCAATGCAGACCAAAGGAGAGAGAAGGACAGGCGAAATCTCAACCAGGCTGTGACGTAACTTTTGGGCTGCTGCTTTCGTTCAGATAATACCTCCGCGAGTCTGGCGTAGAAGCATCTTGCACTTGTTCCCATCCCACCAGAGGTTGTGAACACCAGAGAGTGAAGCTGGCCTGATCGACATTATGAATTCTCTCCCCATATGCCCCAATCTTGTCGTTCTCGTTCCTCCTGTGTGCAGCATCAAGAGGTAGATTTCGGTGACATGCGGCCATGGGATCAAAAATCCTTATGTCGAAGAAGGCTTGCTGTCCCCGCATTCAGAATCCTCAAGCACTGACTTCCACACGGGCTTCATTAGATGTGTTTGAAGTCTTGTGATGGAATTTTTCACCGTCCAATGGAAGGAGGGGTGGTTCCACCATGACGTTGTGGCATGTTTCCCTCAGTAGATTTGCTGTTAGATCCCTTACTTCGTCATGCCTCATGGTCGACGTCATAGGAAGAGCCACAGACGCATTGGGAGGGCAAACCTTCTACTTGCCTACCTTAGCTTAGAGCAATGGCATCTGTAAATTCTTGTTTGTTAAGAGTGAAACGTTTTGCCCGTATCGGTGACGTAGTTAGCCAGTTCGAGGTACCCACCTCCTGCACTATAGCTACTCTGTTTTTCAAATTCTCTGGCACTTGCAGCATCAGTTGCCGCAACTTATTACATTGGCCGTGCTGTCGTTCTGTCGTAATGGACCGTCGAATCTTGTTTAATTCGCTGGTATCCACCTCACCTGTTCTTTCTGAGCTATTATGTGGTCAGTGAGGGCTGCCGTGAGCTTGACTGAGTATTGATGTTCGATGGCAGCAATCTCCTCTGGATTGTTCAATCCCATTCCTTCCAGTCTCGGTGGTAGTGCAAGGAATGACCTTTCTGCTTGGGTTAAGTGAAGGTGTTTCACTAATTTTGGAATGAAATTGATGCTGATGGCTTCTTCCAGAGGGTGGATGAGGGGCTCGATATCAGGGATAGTGCGCATCAGGTAGTTCCAGCGATGCTCGACTCCATGGGTGAATGCCGCAAAAGCCGCATGTGGCTCTGTTTTAGCAATATTCGACAGAGCTTGGATTTCCTTGACCCACTCATTTACCTTTCCCATTACGAATCAGAGGTGTCAAACTCAAAACTTTTCAAGGGCCAATTCTTATTTTAGTTACCCTCTTCAGGGTCAACACAAGTGCTATATCACATATTTGCAGGATTGAAGTTTACAGGTTCACACATTGCCTTACCTGGTTTACCAGGAATATTTCATTTGGGTTTGTCTAATCTTAAGTGTGTAAAATTATTTTGCTTAATAAACATGATTAACGCTAATAATAGGATTGCAAAAGTATGCATTATTTTGCAGCTACAATTTATTATAGAATTCCACTTGTGTTTTTAAACTTAAGAGCTCAATTTAAATTCAATTATTGCCACAATGATGTAAAGATCATTTTGTAATTTACTGACTCAATCATATTTGCATTTTTTTCCTTCATATCTATTTTTATCAAATTTCACGGACTGGTAAATTTTACCGTCATCCCGCGGGCCACACCTGACCATTCAAAGGGCCACATTTGGCCTGCGGGCCATGAGTTTGACACCCCTGCGTTACGTACTCGGTCTTGAAGTCCTTCGTACCGATTACTGCACCTAGGTATCTTTGGCCACCCTTTGTTATTTTGACCTTGTTTCCACCGAACACCTCCACTGCCCATTCATAGTGTTCTGGCTTCACAATGAGGAAGGACTTGTAGACATTTGGGTGGTACCCTATTTGTGGATCATTTGATGTTTTCAGTTCCCACCAATTTTTGATGTCCTCCACTTTTCCTGCTCCTGTAAGGTCGTCAGCATATGCCACTTGTTTGACTGCGGTTGTTTCAAATTTTATTGTGTGCTGGAGCACGGACAGGCCTATTGCGTACATTGCTATTGCCACAGGGTTCCCCTGTGTTCCCTCAGTCAACTGTACTGTATGATGGTATCTCCTTTTAGAGTCTTGATGTTTGTTATATAGATGTCTGATGGGTTGCTATAGGTGTTTTCAATATACATTGCAAAGCTTGGACACTTGATCTTGATGTTGTGCAGTGTAGCTTTGCGGTTGAGAATGTTGAATGCGTTGGAAGCGTCAACCTGGAGAACTGCCTCACAATCGTGCTGCTCATATCTCGTTCGCATGGCGTGAATGGTTGCTTCCCCCAGCCTGGTGGCCAGCACAAACTTGCAAGCCCTTGCAGCTGCCCTGACATATCCTTTACCACCTCCATTTTGTATTTTCCGATGATCCGCCTCAGCACTTCCCCCACCCCTATAGGCCTACATCCTGGATTCTTATCCAGGGGAATGAGGCGACAGGCCGTCAGAGCATGGAGGTGGTGGCAGCACCCGATTGCTAGCTTTCTTGCAAGGGCGATGATGGCAGTGCAGAGCGGTGATGGCAGTGCAGAGATCACTTGCTCCGGCGCCAAACTTGTTAGTGCTGAGGATGACTCTTCAACCGTTTGCATTCAGGTCTAAAGGGCCTGCACTTCCCTGAGTTTTCAGTGCTTTTTTCCAACACCATCTCGCCTGTTATTTTTTCGAACAGGACAGCATTAGAAGGGATATAGTCACCCTGGAACCTGATGCCTTCCTCCTCACTTGCAGGGGGATATTTTTCCTTCAGTTGTTTTAATATCTTTGTTTATTGGCAGAACACCACCGAAGGATTCCTTTGCGAGAGATCTGACCGCCAAAGACACTTTTCCCACAAGCATCTTGTTTCCAAACTTTCTGGCAATGTCATCAGTGTTTTGCTTTACGTCTCCTATAAATTTTAGTCTCTCCTGCAGTGTTCTTGCTTCACACAGGAGATCATCAAGGGCCCCATTCTCCCACATTGTCAATCTTCTCTTCATTGCTGCCACATCCTTGCGTGTGTCCTCTGACAGAATAGATGGGGTATTATTGCCAGCATTTGAAAAACTAAAGGGGCAAGGAAGCAGTCCTGAATGTACTCGGTTATGAGGCGAGTCATCTCCCGAATCATTTCTTTGGTGCCCGCACACTTGGGTGGTTCAGATAGGTTAGCTGGCGACCACCTGACAATTTCTGAGTAAGTTTTTTTAACCCATATATCCACATTTTCCATCGACATGCCATTCCACTGTGGTGGCTGTCTGTCATTCACCTCATGGACATATGCTACTGTTGGACCAGCAATTATTGCCACTACATTTTCAGGTTGAGTAGACTCACTGCTATCATTTAGGATATCATTGGGCGGTGGTGTCCGGGCGAAATCCACTGTGGCCTCCTGTGTCAGCTTCCTGCCATAAGCATTCTGACAATTGTTTCCCTTTCTACAAACCACACATGGTCGGTTGTTTCTCGCACATTCACAGCTTTTGCAATTTTGTTTCTGGCTAGCACAGATGCAGCAATGGCTGTTACCCGGCATAGTGCTTCGCATTTCAGGCGACAGTTATGTCCGCCTCCGACATCTACTTTGGTCCCATACAGATGAAACTAGATCTTATGAAGAAAGGGTAGAGAGGTGGCAGGCTGGACCGCTGTGTTCAGGTAGTAGGGGCATACGTGCGTGTGTGGGTGTGTAGGCCACCTCTGGGGTGGGTGAGGGCGACATTCACCACAAAGTGATACACTGGGAGCAGGAATTGTCACACCTAACACTTGCTTATATATCTATGGCTGGAATAATAAGTATTTCTATGGTTGCACTGATGTAAGTTTAGTTATAAAGACTCGCATGGTCGATTGCCACTGCATGAAGTGACCATTACTTGTGGTAGGCGACAGCAGGCATAGAACAGTTGGCCTTCTGTCACTGACCTCAGGGGCGGGAGTCGCGAGGCCGCATCAGTCAAAATAGTCCTAACCCACACTGGCACCACCAGCCGTTCCACCAAACACTCACAACTCACTTGGTGATTGCCGGTGGATACACGGAATATTTGCAATTAATGCCGT